AAACCTGGCAGACACCACCTTCTCCAACTGACGAAAATAAACCTCTCTCCAGTAATGTGACAAGTGGACCCCTGGTGCTCCTGACACCAGGCACCGAGAAGAACACAGCATCGCTTCCGAGCTACTCCTGCAAAATTACACAACCTGAATCTGCTACTGAGATAACATCGCTCAAATCCAAACCAAGGGACTGTAAAGTAATTGGCCTGTTCCTTACAAAATTAGTAGCACGAAACACAAAGATTAAGGAATTGTTCTGGATTAGAAGAGTCTAAAGAGATACAGAAGCTGAATGCAACACATGATCTGGGATTTTCTTTTTCTGTTCGGGATATATCTGGGCCGACTGGTGAAATATCAGTGAGGTCTATATTACCAGTATTGTATCAATGGTAATTTCCTTACTTTCATAATTATACCATAAGAGAATGTCCCTATTTACAGGAAAAACACACCGAGTATTGGGAAAAGGACAAAGGAAATGCTGTAGGAGAATCTAGGTGAAGATACATAGAAAATCTTTGTATTACTTTTGTACCTTTTGTGAACATCTGACATTAAGCTAGTCTATAAATCTTACTTGACTAAGTCAGTCAGTCTGTTGTCTGCAAGTCTAAAGTTAAAAAGAAAAGAGAAAATGGCCCGGAGGAAAGCATGTCCTCTTCTGTCCGGCCTGGGTGCCTGGTGACTGGGCCCTAGGCAGTTCCTGCCCAAGTAAGACGTCCTTGAATGGACTAGATCCTGAGGGGTTAAAGAGGAGATTTTTTTTCAACAATCAATACTCACTTTCTGAATACCTTCTTCATTTACACACACCTTCGAAAAAATCTGCTTAAATATTTTACTCAGGGCAAAGGCGAAAAACCGAATGGCTCCTAGACGTAGCTTATGACTCATTTCATCCAAGATCTCACAAACCTCCTCTCGGAGGATATCGACAGACTGAAGGGACTCCTTGGAGAGCTGAAAGGAAAGGGAAAGCAGGGATCAATTTTTGAAAAAAAAAAAAAAAAAAAGAAGCCAGAACTCTTTTTTACTCAAAGCAGTACAATTAGCTCCATATGGACCAGTATTCAATGTCTCAAAGATGGTGTTTTATTCTTAATTTAAATTGACATAATTTATTTCCCAACATGGTAAAAGCAGATAAATGATCCTATTTAGACAAGTTTAAAGGCTAGAAATTCAAAGAGAATCAGCTGTCTATGATTGCATTTTGAGTAAAGAAAGATCTCACCTTTCCGTTGATTTGTTAATGATTTTACATCCAAACTCTCTAAAATAAGTGGCTGCCCATGGTCCAGTGTCCTAGCATTCAGTAGTTTCTCTCAGCAGACTGTTCAGCACCTTACCTGCTGGATCAGCGCTATGAAAAGGCGATACACGAGGTAAAAACACAAGATTGCATGGAAATGACCAATTCAGATGATATCAGATATTTGGGTCTGTCTGGCTCTGCAGTGGCTAAAACCCTGCTCAGATCGCCAATTATAGCTCTCTTAATCCCGTTCGTGACACCAATTGTAAAGCTACTCGACCATGCCAGTTGTTGGGCTCCTTTACCTGCTGGTAATCCTGCACCGACTGGGCCGATTGTCGAGCTAAGGCTGGGTCTGGAGCCCACAGACACCTCGAGCCCATTCACAGACTGGGCCACAAATGCTTCACATGCCAGGCTGGGTCCCCAGACCCCTCACACAGGTCTATGAGCTAGGTAACCGGCCAAAAGGTCCTTGGATCCATAGGTTGGAAAGCATGGCTGCGCTGGGCAGATGCTGGAGGCCAATACCTGCCCGCCTGCTTCACTAAAACTCTTCTTTCCAAACAACACAAGAATAGCAACAAAACTAAAAAGATACATTGCCGCCCATGCACACTAACTCCACACACACACACAATTTGCTTACAAAGGATGTGCTGAACCACACCCAACTGGACCCAAGGCAAGGGCTCTGACCAAACTATTCTATTTTCCCAACGGGGTCATTGGTACAAAGATCCCCAAACTATCAAAGGGTCATTAGTGAAATCGAGGATCTCCCAATGGAACTTTCTTCATGCACACAGCACAGCACACGTCTTGTACAGAGAACAAAGTGCTCACAGTGTGACAGGACTGTGAAGGGCCTTGTCAAGAGCAAGTCACAGTTTGTCCTCAAGGAAGGCTGATTTGACCCTTTTCACCTTCCCCTAAACAAGCACTCTCAAAAGGAGTGAAGTCTATATGGTAAATAATATTTATGCTCCCCAAAGGATAATGCTCTGCTTTAGGATGAGGCACAGAACATCAGAGGACAGGACGTTGTGGTCCCAATTGTACATAGTGAAGAAGAATTTTTTTTTCATTGAGGTGAAATTCACATAGTATACAATTAACTGTTTTAAAGTGAACAATTTAGTGGTATTTAGTACATTCACAAACATTGAGCAACCATCTCATCTATCTAGCTCCATCTCTTATCATTTTGGGGGCTCAGTTCGATAGGCCCCAAAAGGCAGGATCAGAATAAACTATGCCCTCTTACCCGTGTTCCTTCATTTTATTTAGAGGTTATCAGAAACAGTAGCTGTTCCAAGAAAAGGGTCAGTAACATGGTCAGAAGAGAACCCACACCCATACCAGTAACAGCAAGAATGCTCTCCCGAGATGGAGAAAACTTGGCCCTGTTTTTTGTTTTTACTAATTTTCATTCCACTTTTAAAAAAATTGTGCTAAAATGTACATAACATAAGATTTACCATCTCAAGTGTACAGTTAGTGGCGTTAAAGCCCTAGACCTGTTTATAGATTACATGGAAGAAGTCCAAGTGGATCTTCCAGTAGATACATAGAGGAGACGTGTGGACCTCAAAAGAGATCTGGACTGAAGAAATACATATTATTTACCTATGTTACTTCTTAAACTATTATTATTTATTGTAATAGGGAGATATCGGCATAAGGAAGGTACTTAAAATTCTGGCAGTAAATAAAACTGCCCAGTGAGCAGGTAGAAGAAAAGAAGGCGTGAGAATAAGACCCTGAAGGACACCAGCATTTAAAGAGAGGCAGGGGACAAGAAGCCCACAGAAACATCTCCAGAATGATCAGAGAGACGGGGACTGGGTGAGTGTGTGGAGTCACAGTGACAAAGGAGAGCAAGCAAGTGCCAAGGGCTGCCACGGGTCTGCACCAGGTAGACCTTGGCCTGAGGAGTCACTTGCAACCTTGGAAAGAGCTGCTACCTGGACCAGAAACCAGAGTCCAGCGAGTTGAGCAGTAAACGAAGGGTGAGGTCGTGCAGGCAACACAGCCAGTTCCTGGACAGAGGAGAGAGGTCGGGCTAGGAAGGTGGAGGTGGGCAAAGACTGGAGAAGGCCCGGGGCCAGAGGAGTTCTGTTCAGCTGGAAGAGACTTGGCATGTTCAGTGCTGATGGAGAAGAGCTAACAAGAAAGAATAGGGAGGACAGATGGGGGACAGTCCCGGAGCAGAGTCCTTGTGGAAAAGGGAGGAGCAGAGTTCAGAACAAAGGAGCAGGGCAGGGATTAAACTCAAACAGGAGAGGGGATCCCTCCTCCACCTTAACAGGAAGGAAGAAAAAATGGTGAGTACTGGATGCAGGAAAATGGGTAGAGGTGATCACAGGAAGGTGGAAGAGCTCTCATAAAACGGTTACGTTTTCTTTGCAGCAGAGAAAGAAGAGCCATCTGCTGAGAGTGGAGAGGAGGGCTGGGAGCAGAGGTTCAAGGAGAGCGGGGGCCACCAACGCTGCCATTCTGGAGAACAAAACAGAGATGTATGGGGAAGAAGGAAGGCTCAGTTGTGCAGGACAACCATGAACTTGCAACGATTCCAGTCTATCTGGATCACGTGACCTTTCTCAGCAGTGAAGGCACGTTTGAGAAACCCTGGCCTGAAGAAGCCCTTTTAAATTAGTCACACTTAATCTCACTGTGCATTAGAATTACTTGGGCAGCTTTAAAAAAAAGAAGAAAAAGAGATGCCTGGGTCCTACCCCAGACCAGTTAAGTCAGGATCTCTGTAGATGGGGCCAAGGCATCATTTTTTTTTCATTCACTAATTCAACATGTATTTACTGAGTGCCTACCATGCACTGGACACTGGGAACACAGCAGTGAAAAGCAGACAGAAGCTCCTGCCTTCACAGAGTGTAGGTTCTGGCGGACAGTAAGAGTCAACTCTGCAAAGTTCTCCAGTGGTCTAAGGAAGAGCCAGAGCTCAGAGCCACCGTCATCAGTGCCTAACAGGTGAGGAAACTTGACGTCGCCTAAGAAATTGGCCCAGCCAGAGAAAACTGATAGCTTCTCCATGACACGTAAGGCCAAAAAACAAAGGCATTAGAAGCACAAGTCCAAACCAAAAGAGAAAACAGAGAGCAAAGATAAAAGAACTGTTGTGATTAAACTCCAGTGAAAAGTTAAAAGGCAGGATCTCTGCAGGTAAGCCTGAGGGCACAGAAGTCAAACTCAGAACCCCAGAACTGCTTCTCCTTTTCCCCACTCAGAGCCCAGAGCAGACTGCAAGAGGTCGGAGAGGAAGCTGCCAGGCAAGCCCGGCACAACCTGAAGTCTAGGCCATATCCTGAAGCTGAGCCATCTCTGCAAGAGACAGGAGGGAACGGGGAGGTCAGGGGAGGCCGTGACCATGACAGGAGACAGCTCTGTCTGTGGTGAAGACGGGCTGAGCCGCAGCCACCTGAGCAAAGAGGCAGGGTGGAAGCATCGACATCCTCTGGTAACCAGAGTCAAGTAAGAACACGGCCATTCTGAGCGAGTTCCCACATTCCCTAACAAAAACACACAGGTAGGTGCACATGTGCTTTGCTTCAAGACATTCACAGAGGAGCAAGAAGGCAAGCACACAGTCCTCAGAGGAGCTTGTGAGGAAAAGGAGTATGCTCTCTCCTGACCAGAAAGAAGGCCACGCAGTAATACAGGCTGCTCTGGTAAAGGAGCCCAGCCATCCCCAGCCACGCTCCCACAGCTGCCAACCAAGGGTCTGGTAGGGATCGAGGCCAGGCCAGCCCCATCTGCAAATGTGCCAGCGCATCCCCTGTGGACCTGCGACCACATGCATGCCCAGCTATGGCATGAAGGCTAGTGCTAGAAGCTCAAGCCCTGCCTACTGAATACCTTCACCTGGATGCCTTCGAATCACACGTCCAAACAGAGCTCGCTGCCCCCCGCCCCCAGGCCTGCTCCCTCCCCTGCGTCCCCACCTCAGTGAATGGCTGTAGGGTCCTTGGCTCTCTCCTTTACTTCCTTAACCCAACTGGTCACTAAATGAAGTCGGCTCCACCTCCCAAATCTCTTAGGTCTACACCCACTCCCCAGTCCAGGCGGCTGTGACTGCACAAAGGGATGGGCACAGGACAGCAGAGGCACTTCCTGCGTTGGTCTCAGCAGAGTCAACTGACCAGGCCCCACTCCAGCTGAAACCTTTCAACCGATGGCTCTGCGCCGTACACAGGGGGACGCCTCTACATGGTTGACAAAGCCCTTCGTGATGCGGCCCTGATTACCGCTGCGGGCTCCTTTCTCTTTGGTACCCTCTTGCACTCTCCCTGGTCTGGTCACAGTGAGTCACGTTCAGTACACTGGAAGTGCACATTCTCCCGTAGCCCCAGTCTCAGGATAAGCCAGTGGTTCCCAAACTCTGCTATACTTCGGAATTGCCTGGGCCTCTTTGAAAACTGCCAATGCTTGGCTCCCTCCCCTGACATTTTGCATGGCATGGGTGTGAGATGCAGGCACAAGGGTTTTTAAAAGCTCCCTGAGAGGGCCGGCCCGGTGGCGCACTGGATAAGTGCGCCGCTTGGGAAGCGCGGCGGCGCTCCCGCCCGAGGGTTCGGATCCCACATACAGACCGGTTCCCGCTCACTGGCTGAGCAAGGCGCGGGAGCAACACCAAGGGTTGCAATCCCGTTGCCGGTCCCCGGTCCGGTACGGGGGCAACACTGAGGGTTGCGATCCGTTGCCGGACACGGAAAAAGACAAAAGACAAAAAAAAATAAAAAATAAAAAAATAAAAAAATAAAAGCTCCCCGAGTGACTCTAATGCAGAGGTTTGAAAGCCAGGGGAATACGTTATTTGCTCTGCTACGAACCCTCTTCTTTACCCTCTTTACCCAGAAAACCCCTAATCATCCTTCATGCCTCAATTTAAAAAAAGCACTTCCTTGACTCCTGACACAAATCAGTGGCCCGTGTAACTAATTTGTGCCCCTGCACGCTGGGCTCCTACTCGCCTGTCTTGAATCACACTTCACTGTAATGGAGTGACCAAGTCATTGTTCCTGCTAGACTAGGCAATGCTCAACCTGCTCGCTGTCAGACCTCCAGTGTCCAGCAGAGAGGCTAACACACATTATGGATACAATACATACTTGATGAATGTCCTGACTATAGCTAAACCTAAAAGGATACACTGAAGACAGCAAAATAAATTCACAGAAACAAGAAGAGAAAGAACTTGTTGACGATGAACCAATCTGGTTCTGGCTGAAGAAAGACTCACTCACCTGTTTAATGACATAATGGATCTCCTCAGAGTCGAGAACACTACATTTAATATCACTTGGCTTACACGGAGTAATTCCCTTGTAGAAAAGAGGGGTGTAGCACTTCATTGCAAATTTCAAGTCACTGACATGCTTCCTCTCCTCTAAAATATCTTCAAACTCATCCCACTTTTTGAGCTCCTTCTGTGAAAAGAAAATAATGAGCACACATTGTAAAATAAATTAGGATAGATGAGGGACTACGCTGTTAAGGTTTCATTTTTACCAAAAGTTTAATTCCACTACATACGAACAAGAGCAGTGTTCTGATGTCACATTTTCACATACAAGAAAACGAAATGTAACAGTAACTAGGAATAGCAAATTGATACTGAATCATCGTAATATTTTATGAGTATCATATTTCCAATTGCTATTTTTGTAAAGTCAGTACTCCTTTGGGAAATTTAACAATGGTGGCAAAGATGAGCCATGAAGCTCTAGAGTAAATCTGATCAATTTTATAAGGTTTCATCTACCACACTGACAAGCTCGTTTTGTATACCACTACTTAAAGATTTAAAAACCAAATCAAAACATACATTAGAAACCTAAAATTGTGTCAAATAAAAAAAAAAACCCACATAGGTGCAAATAAAAGGAAAAGTGTTCCCCTGCAAGCTACCATGGAGCAGTCCTTTGCCCCGATGGCTTTCTTATGTGCTGTTTTACCCGCCGTGGTTCAGCTTCTGTCCAACCAGCCCCTAGCGGCGCACTTCAGAAGGCTACCAAGGACTTCTGAACTGCTCATGTAGGGTGTTCTTCTATAAAAGTCGTAGGAGTGGTAAACACAATAATTACAGCTGCCACACACAGCTGATTACTACTACCAGGCACTGTTCTAAAACAGTAAAGGACAACCCTCGCTGCCTCTGAAGCAGCTGTTATCAAGACCCCCATCTTACAATGGGGAAACTGAGGTGCAGAGAAGGGGAACAATTCATGCAAAGTCCCACAGCTTGTAAGGGGCAGAGACATGACTCAAACCCGAGCGTACAGCTCCACAGACCCGGCTCCTCACCACTATCCTGCACTACTCACCATATTTATGGAAAATTTGGAAACACAGGAACACATAAGCAAATATAAATTGCCCACAATTTTACACCCCAGGAACAGCTATTCTTAACGTTTAGTAGTTTCCTTATTTTCTTCATTCATAGGTATAGAAATAGGTATATGTATTTTTATTCAAAATATGAACCACACCAAATATAGTTTACCTTGCCTTTTCGAGTATTTCTCCTGTATTAAATACTATTTGAAAACATTTTAGTGGCTGCACAATCATCTTCATGTTCCCTAACTACTTTTTTTTTTTTTGGAAGCTATGGTATGGGGATCTGAACCTGTGACCTTGGTGTTATAAGGCTGCACTCTAACCAACTGAGCTAACCAGCCAGCTCCCCCAACTTCTTAAAATAATTTTTTTCTAATTATCAAAGTGATACATGTTAACTATGGAAATTTAGAAAATACAGTAAAGCACAAAGAAAAAACTCAATTCACCTCCCCTCCCCCGCCGCACTGATTTGCAACCTAATATTTTCACTTGACATAAACACTCCTCCACGTCTTCTAAGATTCTTCCATTATTTTTAATGTTACTGTTTTTAATGTTGGACATTTGAATCATTTTTCATTCATGTATTTTCTGTATGAATATATGCTATTATAAAAAATGCAACAAGCGTTCTAAAACATAACCTCTGTGCACAAATCTTATTATTTCTTCAACTTGACCATCCAATGCTGCTCTTTCCAGTCTTCATCCTCTACACTTCTCTACAGGGTAACCACCATTTTCAAACTCTCCCTCCTCACCCCTACCTCCAACCATCCTGAAAATTTCCTGCTTGGCTTTGAATTCAGATTCTCTCTTGTCACAGCAGGAAGTCCACCTCATTTTGCTAAAGCTTTTCCCTGAAATCTACAAGTATGTCTTCTTTCCTACCACCTCCCTTAATATGTTAACATCTCCACCCTGCTCTCTCCACTCCACGCAGCATGCCGGGTGCTCTTGCCTCCTGCACTGGTTTAAAATACTAATAATACATGCCTCCAAGTCTTTTGCCCTGTTCTCTTCTCCCATCTGAGCTCCCCACAGAAACATTTAGTTGCAAACACTTCACATTTGGCCTTTCCAAAACCAGACTCACTTCTCCTATGCACAGTCCTACGACCTGATTAATTTTATGAAATCTCAGTCATCAACTGCCACGCCGTCTGCATCCCCTTCCTCATTCTACAGGCCTCCTCTCCGACCCTCTCTGCAACCACCCGGTCCTGGTCACCTGGCCCTCAGGGTGTCCCACATCCTCACTTACACAGCTTCGGCCCAGGCTTCCTGTCCCCCTGCACTCTCTACCACGACAGCCTCCTCGAGGGTCTCTTCGCCTAGGGTTTGCCCTCTGAATCGATCCTCCATGCTACCACAGTGCTCTTTTCAAAATACAATTGTGACCAAATTGTTTCCTGCTTAAGACACTTAGAAGATCCCCACCTCCTTCAGAAGAAGACCTACGCCACTTCTGGAGTCGCGGAGACCTGCCACCACTTGGCCTCTCCACTCCAGCTGCATAGCCACCACACCTGCAGTCCACTCAACAGGGAGTGCACCACATCTCCCAGCACATGTGGTTGCTGGCACCCCTCTGGGCTTTTACATGTGCCCATCTCTCTGTCTGGAATGCCCTTCAGCTCCCCTGTCCTTGCACCAAGGAGTGAAAGCCCTGCCCGAATCCCCAGATAGAATTATCCATACGCCCGCACTACAATGTCTTTGCTTGCTGCCTACATCTGTTAGGGTACGTAACCCACGACACTGGAGTTGTTTGCATGTCTGTCTCCCTAGCAAAATGCAATTATCTGAAGCACAGGACAGCTCGTTTCCTCTTTGTATTTCTAGCATCTGGCTGTATTTGGAATATTGCACGATTGGTCAATAACTGAACGATTGTCGGTTAGAGAGAGCACAGCCTTATAACGTCAAGGTCATGGGTTCAGATCCCCACACCAGCCAGCCACCAAAACAAAAACAAAAACAAAACACACACAAAACAACAACAAAAATAACAATGATTAAATATTGAGGTAATGGAAGAAAATACAAAAGGTTAAACTGAAACAATGATGTGGCATGAAAATATAAATAGAAGCAAACAGCACTTATGTGGAGTTTAAAAGGGTAGCATGTGAAATATGAAATACACAAGCATGAAAATGTTCATGTCCACAAATACAAAGCACGGAAAATACATGAGGGACAGTCTTCTCCCTGCTGGAATTCTGGTGTAACAGCGCAGTCACTGTAACACATCTCATACTCTTGACCTTCTCAAATTTCACATCTCTTGTTAATAAGGTAATACACAGTTATTATCAGCTCAGTCTTGATAGACTGTAACAAACTATCATTATATAATTTTAGGGCTAAAAGGGATGTTAGAAACTTCCCATTTAGTGGTCCTGGGAGTGGAAGGAGAAAAGGATCGGATCAGAATCAGCTAGGGGGCCAGCCCGGTGGCGCACCGGAGAGTGCGCTGCTTGGGAGTGTGGCGGCGCTCCCGCCAAGGGTTCGGATCCCATGTGGAGACCGGTTCCCGCTCACTGGCTGAGCGCGGTGCGGGCACGGCACCGAGGGTTGCGATCCCGTTGCCGGTCCCCGGTACGGGCGCAACACCGAGGGTTGCGATCCCGTTACCGGTCAGTAAAAAAGACAAAAAGGAAAAAAAAAAAAGAATCAGCTAGGGACATACACACACACACACCCCTGTGCACATTTTGGTCAACAACGAACCACATATACAAAGAAGTCCCAAAAGATTATAACATTGTATTTTTACTGTACCTGTTCTGTGTTTAAATACACAAATACTAACCATTGTTACAACTGCCTACAGTATTCAGTACAGTAACATGCTGCACAGGTTTGCAGACTGGAAACAAAAGGCTTATACCATATAACCTAGCTGTGCAATAGGCTATACCATCTATGTTTGTGTAAGCACACTCTACGATGTTCACACAACGACCAAACCACCTAACTACGCATTTCTCAGGATGTATCCCTGTCATTCAGTGACACATGATGGTTATTGTGTGTGTACATGTGTACAGAGAGACAGAGAGACAGGAGGAGTCCTCAGGACAAGTAACCTATAAGGGAGAGCAGCAGGCACGCATATTTTGAAAACGCTTGCTAAATATGATCATCTACAATCCTTCTGTGGTTCTGTCACTGCAGGATCAAGTCCACACCTCTTAGCATATTACCCTAGGCTCTTCATGATCCCTCACCACCTGTCTCTACCAGTCCCCTTCTCCCACCAGTCCAGCGATGCCACAACCTGCACTTCCCTAGACAAGCTCCGCATGGTGGGACCAGTTATCAAGAGGGCAGCATCTACAAATGTCCTTTCCCCATGGTACACCTGGAAAATACCCATCAACCACAGCTTGTGTTCACCTCCTTGTTCACCATTTCCTGGTTCTCTCCCGTACCTAGACTGAACACCATCCTCTCCTTTGAGTCTTTACTGAATTCTCAATGACTGGACTTTCAAGATGGTATCTACCGAAAACACTTCATTAAACTTGTATTTGGTGCCTCCCTTATGAGACTGTTAATTTCTTGTTCAAGTAGGTAAAAGAGTCTTATACATTTTTGTACTCTAGTTCCTAGGAGGAACTCAAGTCATTTTGGTAGAATGAAAAAATAAATAACAAGCTCCGCATGGTGGGACCAGTTATCAAGAGGGCAGCATCTACAAATGTCCTTTCCCCACGGTACACCTGGAAAATACCCATCAACCACAGCTTGTGTTCACCTCCTTGTTCACCATTTCCTGGTTCTCTCCTGTACCTAGACTGAACACCATCCTCTCCTTTGAGTCTTTACTGAATTCTCAATGACTGGACTTTCAAGATGGTATCTACCGAAAACACTTCATTAAACTTGTATTTGGTGCCTCCCTTATGAGACTGTTAATTTCTTGTTCAAGTAGGTAAAGAGTCTTATACATTTTTGTACTCTAGTTCCTAGGAGGAACTCAAGTCATTTTGGTAGAATGAAAAAATAAATAACTGAAGGAAGCTACTTTTTGAACCCTGTGGATAACGACTCCCAAATATTCACACGATAAAGCTCAAAACATCCCCAATCTGGCCCTAAACCAATGTCTAATCCAGTGGTTTTTAATCCACACTGCACATTAAAATAACCTGGGGCACTTAAAAAAAAATACTGATGCCCAGGCTCCACCTCTAGAGATTATTCATTAACTTGGTCTGTGAGCGGGACCCAGTCATCAGAATTTTTTAAATTAATTGATTTATTTTAATTTTTTAATTTAATTTAATTAAAATAACCTGGGGCACTTAAAAAAAAATACTGATGCCCAGGCTCCACCTCTAGAGATTCTTCATTAACTTGGTCTGTGAGCGGGACCCAGTCATCAGAATTTTTTAAATTAATTGATTTATTTTAATTTTTTAATTTAATTTGATTTTAAATACTTTAATGTACTTCTCAAAATACATTGTACTTGATTTTCCAGAATTTTTTTAAAAACTACTTGCTGTTACTGCTCATTAACTGGTCTTCCCTATACCATGCTGGAGAAGTATTTACTATCACTGAATAAATATATTTACATGGAACACAACATAAGAGCCCAAGAGAAAGGACTAAGATGAAGTCTCTCTCTGCCATCTTAATTTGCACAGCAGATATTTGACAGACCTACTGACAGCTAAACAGCAGGCCTTTCCCTATTGATAGCTAAACAGGCATCTCCTTGTACCTCCCTCTCAACCACTCTGGGGGATTCATTCATTCAGCAGCTAGTCACCGAGAGCCCACAGTGAACCAGGCTCTGATCTGCAGGCTGAGGATGCAGCCTGAGCAGGGTGGGCAAAGACTGCACTGAGAGAGCTTGCATGTCCTTCCAGAAAAACAGACAACAAACAGACTTGGTAAGTCACTTTGTGATACCACCAGTAGTGTGCTGGTCAATGCTTAACCACTTAATAACTGGTACAAGAGATCCTGAGTTAGAGCATCTGCCAACTTATGTGGTATATGTACTCCCACTGTGGCAGATGTCAAGATACCGATACAACCTCACAGAATACGGAGTTGGGGACAGGTGCACAGTAGCACATGGTTATACGATGTTACGTCAAAGAGTTAGTGGAAAAATAGAATTAAAAGATAACATGAATCTCTCCATGAACTTTTTGAAGAGCTTTCATATAGGATCTCCACCTTCCAGAAAGATAGACATAGATAACAGTAAACTCAGTTAAGTAATTAGGAAATGCAGAGTTTTGAGTATTTATTACCTTTGTGTTTAACAGAATTTAACTGTACATTTATATAATTTAATCCTTAATTTCTAATAATGGTTGTGTTTGACAAAGGGCTCGCAAACCTCATGAAAATGTAACAGTCCACTCTTGCAAGCCAGTACAAGACGCTGTAGCACACCACTGGAAAGAGAATATGAAGAAAATAAAATGGGTAACTAATGAAGAAGAGTGATCAGAGAGCTACTTTAGGTTGAATGGTTGAGGAAGGCCTCTCTGAGGAGGCGACACATTTGAGTGGGGACCTCAATAATAAAGAGAGCATGCCACATGGAGGGGACTGTGAGTGTTCTGAAGAGAGAGCACGCTCACTTCTGGAGAAACAGGCCAGGGTGGCTGAAGCCCAGTGAACAGGACGACTAGTCAGGTCAGGGAGGTAGCAGTTACTGGATCACGCGGGGTCTGTGGCACATGGTAAGGTGTGGCATGTTTCACTCGGAAGCCATAATTTGGGTTACAGCACACCAGTGGCTGCCCATCCCTGGTCTCCTTTTCCTTCTGCAGCCTCACTTCTGAAAGGTTTCAAGCACACCTCTGGATTCAGACACCACCCACTTGCTGATGACTGCCAAATCCATGCATTTTAGGCCAAACCTTGTCTTGCTCTGGTACCATATTTCTAACTCTACTCGGATGTCTCCCAAAAACCTTGTGATGTATCTGGTTCATAACATGGTAATCCACAGGTTAAAAATCATTTACTTTTGCCTTTCGCATCTCAAACTGAACACATCCCAAAGTGAAATAATTACATTACCCAGACTAAACCTGCTCCTGTCCTTGGATTACCTATCAGCAAAAGGCATCTTCATCTGCCCAGTTGCCAAATCACAGAAACTCAACAGTCAACTTCACATTGCCTCCCCTTCCTGAGCTGCCGCATTCAACCTGGTTCGAACAGCTGAGTCATCATCCTAAATGCCACACAAATCCATCCATCTCCCTTCTTCCCAGCCTCGCTGCCTTGCTTCAGGCTCCATCAGTTCTCTGGATTACTGCAATAACACCCTAATTGATCTCCAAGCTCATGTATCAGATTCCTGCCCAACCTGATTTCTC